CTCTACTCTGTGAACTCTGTGTTGTAAGCATACTCAAGCCTTGGGAGGGGCTGTGAATTGCTTATTTTGATGAAAAAGAAATTTTTAAATGGGGGTCCAAGCCAAAAAGGGGCCTCCTAATCCCAACACGTGGAACATGGCACGAGGGTTAACATACTGGCACAGCTCAAGACTTTCTGCCCACAATCCCCACCTGTCACCCTCTCAAAGAGGAGGAAGAGCTCCCAAATGAGCACAAGGGCATAATGGAGACTTTAGGACATAAAATTAGGCCACCAGGCTAAGAGATTGTGTCTGAAGGGACTGCGTAAGTCCTTTCTTGGCCTCTTCTGCACCTCTTTATGTTCTGAGTTTTATCTATCTATCCATCTACCACTAGTTCTATTCCTATCAGTTTTCCAGGCAGCTGGTATGATATGAAGGCCCTGTGTCTGATATAGCTTAGGTCCTTCCAAGACGGCAACATGGCAGGGGCAAGAAGGAAGGAAGCACAAGGCAAGCTGCTCAGACTGGCCTCTAGTCTGGGTTAAAAAAAAAATGACCTCAACACTTACAGGTGTTTCAGCCCAACTGCAGTAACACCCACCAGGAAATGTAGGGACAACAGCCCATGTGGTAACTAAGACTGTCCCTTCACCTTCCAGAACATAGGAGTGAATACAGTCACAGCAAGCAATGTCTGAGATTCAAATCCTGGCCACCTTCTCCTCAGAGGAAAAGAAATCATCTAGATCTACCAGCCCTTGGAGATCTAGGCCAATGACTTCAATGCCAAGAGCTGCAAAATCACAAAGCCCTTGAGTATGAGGAAGTGAGAGGTGGGTATTTTTCTCCTCATCTCCTCTGTGTTCTAGATACCTGCTTTTGCACATCTCTCTCTGGTTTCCACCATTTTCTCCAGATGTGAACCTTTTCTCTCCATTAAGCTCTACAAGAATGCCTCCTACCACGTGTGCATATGTAAGCTGATTATCTCAGCGGAAGATTTCACTCACAGAAGCAGCTTCCAGTAGGAATCATCTCTCACCCTTCCTCAGGCTCTGCACCAGGGGCCTTCCTGACCCTTTGCCTGCATGCTTCCAGCTTCTCCAGTTCAAACTTCTCCCTCTTGTTTTCTTTGCTCCTTACCTCATCCTGCCAGTTGTTCCCACCTCCCCAGTCCCAGAACTCCATATTTTTCTGCCCCAGGTGTTAAGGCATTTTTACATTGCTATAAAGAAATACTTAAGGCTGAGTAATTTAGAGAAAAGAGGTTTAATTGGCTCATGGTTCTGCAGGCTAGTCAAGCATGGCACTAACATCTGCCTCAGGAAGCTTTTACTCATGGCTGATGCAGAAACAGATACATCATATGGCAAGAGCGGGAGCGAGAGAGGAGATGCAGGAGGTCCCAGACTCTTTTAAACAACCAGATCTTGGGTGAAGAAACTGAGTGAGAACTCACTTATCATCAAGGAGTTGGTGCTAAGCCATTCGTGAGGGATCCACCCCCATGATCCAATCACCCCCCACCAGGCCCCACTTCCAACATTGGGAATCACATTTCAACATGAGATTTGGAGAGGACAAACATCCAAACCATATCACCCTCAGCCCTACATCCAAAACTATAGCACCAAAGTCAACAAGCCACTAAAAGAACAAAGGTCTTGCCATCTAATGTAACCTGCCCTCTTTAGAGGTATATGTGAATATATAGGTAGCAGAATAATTTCTGTGGGCACTTTTAATAAGCAGCACTCCTCCTTGGATGCAGCACTCTGAAATTCTATTTTGACACATTTCATTTCACTAGCCTTGAGGTTATTGTAGTTACCCCTCCTTCCTTGCGTGTCCAGACACTGCCATTTAAGTCTCCAATATTTATACATAATATATTCCTCATTCCTCATTCGAAGGATACAAAAGTCTCAATTAACTTCAATTCAACATTTATAATGTCAGGTACTATAAAGGAAGAGGCAGAAAATATTAAGCAAAATCTTTGCTCTCAAAGAACTTGCTTTCTAACAAGAGACAGGCAAATGCCCAAATGGACGGGAAATGATTTGCTTTCATTTCCATGCGCATGTTACTACAATCTAGTCCCTTTGCTAGACGCAGTACTGAAGTCTGTTTTATGTCTTTCCTTACTAGTCCCCGTGATTCATTTTCTCTCTCTCTCTCTCTCAACATGAGAGTAGCTACCTTGAGGCCATCTGAAATAAAAGACTTGAGCAGGAAAATAACACCCTAATTTAGTATTTGCTTAATTCCCTTTGTTTATTGAAGAAATCTTTATGTGCCTTATAATGTTAACTTTCTCAGCGGTATCTTATTTTGTTGCACAGAACAGATACTCTTCCATGGACCTCTGAACTGCTATAAGAGCAAAAAATAAACTTCTATCTGTGTTGAACCATTAGATACATGAATCCTTTTGTTGCCATAATCTAGCCTACACAAACTAATTTTAAAATTGATTGTAATACAAGACAGAATGAAGTAAATGCTCGGCAGAGGTTTAGGTCATGTGCTTAGAAGAGCACAGATGAAATTGTGACGTTTTCTACAATTCATATCTGATACTCATTATCTAGCATATCTGAATTTATCCTCGCAATAACACTGTTTATAATATTTTATCTTTCTCTCTTTCTCTTTTTTTTTTTTTTTTTTTTTGAGATAGGGTCTCACTCTGTCACCCAGGCTGCAGTGCAGTGGCACAATCTCGGCTCACTGCAATCTCCACTTCCCAGGTTCAAGTCATTCTCCTGCCTCAGCCTCCCAAGTAGCTGGGACTACAGGGATTACACACCTGGCTAATTTTTGTATTTTTACTAGAGACGGGGTTTCGCCATGTTGGCCAGGCTGGTCTCAAACTCCTGACCTCAGGTGATCCACCTGCCTCGGCCTCCCAAAGTGTGCCTGGCCTGTTTTATCTCTTTCATGTAGCTCAGGAGACTGAGGTTCAGAAAAGCTAAGGAACTTGCACAACACAAAGCTAACTATTGGTGGAAATGGGATACAAATGTAAGTGCCATTTTAAAACACAAAATCTTTTCACTACACCATATTACCCCTTATAGTGTGCCTTATAGTGGAGGTCAAAGATGATTTGACAGGGAACTGCTATATGAATGGGGCCTGAGATAAGTAGACTTGGTGTCCCACAGCCTAAGATGTCCCACAGACATCCACACTTTTATGCAAATTAAGCTTTGCATGAATGACCCCAAGTTATATCATGGTGGCTACAAATATGGTAACAAAACTCATTTAATTCATAAAGTCACTTTCTGGGGAGCTAATTAATATTATTGCTTTTAGCAAGAATGAAGTAAATGCCAGGTAGAGATTCAGGTCAATCTTTGAACAAGAATATTGATTTTTTTCCTCTTCTTCTAATTACACAAGTCACTGGGATAACGGGTCCATCCACCATCTGTCTGGGTAAATAAAAACCGCCAAAAACCAGGGACTGAAGCTCTTAGCAGAGTGAGGAAGCTCTAGTATCAGCAGTTGGCTTGAGCCTTCTCTCATAGAACATGCCAATTAAACAGGCTAATTAGGCTTCAGTTAGATCGCAGTGGGATTTATTAAAGGAAAATCTCACAAAACATTTTATCCTAGAACATGTATTTGTATAATCCAGAAGAGTGATTTAATTAGGGAATTAAAAGTCCATTGAAGTATATTCCAGAATGGAATTGTTTCTCTGAAAACTACATGGAGATCACAGTCCTGGGGCAAAAATAAAGACATACCAAGCATCCTCTGTCCTACTTTTTAATGGGCAGATGGTTGCAATGATTCATTTCTTAATCATTCTAGCCCAGGCACATACAGCAACTTTTACTGGGTCTTTTCTGCCATGATTAAGCCATATTGATAAATACAGATCTCAATTTATCCTCCTAGTGTTGCAAAACCATCTCACTGGGGACTGAATCCCCTAATATAATCCATGTCCAAGGTCAGCCTTGCACTAGAGTTCTGTGTATCCCCTTCCAGATTGTGAGAGAAGCACAAGCTCTGCCACATAATATTGACACCAACTCAGTGTCTGGTATATTGTGTGATAACCCAGAGTTTACAACCGCTCCAGCCTTCTAGTTCTTTGCATGGATTTTGTATTGTCCTAAGCTTCAAACCCTGTTTGTGAGTGAGGATGGGGTCACAGTAACAGTCAAAATCCAAATTCCACACTTTCTCTCTTCTATCTTTATATGTAAACTCAATTCCTGCAAAGTAACTGCAGAGTCTTTCTGAGAATCCCCAGAACATATCTCACCTGTGCTCAGGAACAAAGCCAGGCAACTAGCATGTGAGGTCCACAGCCTCTCTCCTCTTCCCACCCACTGCTTTCTTTCCAAGCAACATAGACCCAGAACCAGTGGGAACTGCACGAGGAGACAAACTGAAAGAGAAGACACTACTAAGTCCTCCTTGCTGGGCCAAATTTATTCAGCTTGGCATCTTTTTCCCTCAGGATAGAAGTTTTTTAGGAAGTTTCTCAGACCCCCTGAGCAAACAGACTTCTGTTGAGCGAGACCCTCTATGTTAGCAGATAGCTGTGCCTCCTCAGACTAGTTCAGGCTGCTGTTCCTCGGGCTGGAAGTTCATCACAGTATCGTCTGTAGAGACAGGGAGTTGGAGGCAATCTGGGTGTCCACTGGGTAAAACATAGTAGGTGTCTACCTTGGAGTAGAGCAGTCAGAGGTAGTATACAAGGTGAGCACAGAGCAACTCAAATGGGTCTTTAAAATATGGTGATGAATGGTGGAAAGAAAGGATGAAACAAGGTATGTAACACAGGACCACTTATATGAATAAAAACACATGTACACAAAACAATATGCATTTTACAAGAATACATACCAAGAAGATACATATTAAACACACACGGTGGGGTGGAGAATGAGGAATGAAAGTGGAATTAATAAATTAATGAACAGATGAATGTATGTATACATACATAAAAGAAAAGAGACTTGCAGAGACCAGTGATGATAATGTACCTTCAAATGATATGATCACTTCAACCCTCTGCATTGAAGTTCCAACCTAAAAAAAAGAAGAGAAGGTTTTGTGAATGGAGCATTTGAAGGAGAATGTAAGAGTGGCCAGATGGGTAAGGTGGACAGGTTATAGCATTTGATTTTTCCCAAGGGCAAGGTAGTTTAATACATTGAAGCAAGGCTGAATCCCGTGTCAATGCTGGGGTTCACAAACTCTGGGTTCATCTGAATCACCTGGAGGGCTTGCTAGAAGACAAATTGCTGGGTCCACTCTCGGAATTTCTATGTTAGATCCTGGGTGGGCTCCAAAATTTGCATTTTTATCAAATTCCCTGGTGATACTGATGCTGCTCGTCAGGGATCCTAAAGGCTTTTATCAGTCTTAGACTGGCAAAACTACTTACTTGGTGGGAACTCTCCTCATACAGTAGGGGCTTCTCTGAATCATAAATTAGGAAAAGCAAGGGAGGTAGTAAGCTTCCTTTGTAATCTTTGAGTATTTTCTCTTCCTATCATAATTTGCTTTAAAACATGTACAAACATCCAGGGTGGGCCCCACCGCATATTGCATTGGATTTAAGTAAGTAAGTGTTTCTATATCCTCAAAAATAAGTAAAAACGGAAGAGTGAAAGAAATACAAAATATCGCTTTGTTATAGCAGAATTTCAGATCTCTATATAATGATCAGAACAGAGAGCAACAATAGGAAAGAGCAAACAGCTTAAAGATGAAACAGGCTAATTTTGTTTTAACCAAGCCTGGTACTGGCAAATCAGTGAGAGAGCAACTTCATCAAAGTAGCCCTCAATATCAAATAATATCAATAACAACAACGTCATTGACTACGTGCCTACTATGCACCAGTCTCTGCGAAGTGCTTTGCATGGATTTAGTCCACCAATAAGGGAAATATCCTTAATATCCCTCTTTTTCAGATAAGGAAACTAAAACTTATGGAGGTTAAGCATCTTGTCCAAGTCCATACAGCTGATAAATGAAGGAGTCAGGTTTTGAACATAAGAAATCTGAGCCCACACCCAGTGCTGTCTGAATCACGCTGTCTGATATAATTACCACATTCCATTCTCAGCACCTTTGAAACAATACGTTCTCAATCTCACCGGCCATGGATGCAAAATTCCTTATTTTCCCTTGTGAGTGCCCCAGGCCTAAGATCTAACATCTTCTCAAGGGATAAAGAGAACACAAAATTATGGCTTCTCACCAAAATGTGTTTTCCCAGCTCTATCGGTCAGAGTCTTAGCCAAAAATGGATGACATGCTCCAAGGGAGAAACCAAAGAGAGTTTCACACAAAAAATACTACTTACAGATGTGTGGGCAGAGGTAAGGGAACCAATGAGGGATGGTGAAGACCCAGGCGCTAGAAACAGCAAGACGCATTTACTACGCCCAGGGATGAGGGAGCCAGGGAAGAAGCAGTGTTAGAGACCCTGGACAGAGCTGGAACTGCTAAGCTACCAAACAGGAACCACAGCCTGCTGCAGGCGGAATTCCTGAGAATGTCCCCAGGAGTCAAAACCCGGATCCCCACCCTTTGATTGTGATGAGGAATCCTTCCGTCATTGTGTTATGCCTTATATCTCACTAATGGCCTTTACAAAAAGGGAGATTATCCAAGTACATCACTCAAATCACACGAGCACTTAAAAGCAAACAACGTTCTCCAGCTGGTAACAGAAGAGGAAAGCGGGAGGAGATGACAGAAAGATTCGTATTGTGAGACAGACTTGATGTGACGTTTCTGGTCCATTGAAGATGAAGAGAGGGCCACGTGGGAAGGAATGCAGGCAGCTTCCAGAAGCAGTGTGGAGCTTCCTTCCAGCTGACAGCCAACCAACAAATGCAAATCTCAGTCTGACCACCGCAAGAACTGCATTCCTCCAGCCTGAATGAACGTGGAAGTAGATCCTCACCTCCATGTGAGCCTCCAGATAAGAACCAGCTCTACAAATACCCTGATTCCAGGCCTCTGAGGCCCGGAGCAGAGAACCCAGTTGAGCCCACCAGGGCTTCTAACCTACAGAACTGTGAACTAATACATGAGTGTTGTTTTAGGCCACTAAATGTGATTTGTTAGGCAGCAATAAAACACCATTGTACAACCAAAGGGGACACAACTGTTGCCAGAATTAGAAACCAGTGCCGGGGAGGCAGGGAAATGGGCAAATCAAACTGTTTTCTCCTGCCCTCCATCCTCCTGCCAGGGCCACCCGTTGATCAGGACACTGAAGTTAGTCTCCCGAGAAACTTCAGCCTCACTGTGAGCCATGGATATGTTCCAGTACCAAGAGTAAACTTGGATTTTGTGAACATGAAGTTTACTCTATTTTAGGGGCGTGCTCAAGAAATGACTACAAAAAGAATACAAAATTGGCTGGGCGCGGTGGCTCAAGCCTGTAATCCCAGCATTTTGGGAGGCCAAGACGGGTGGATCACGAGGTCAGGAGATCAAGACCATCCTGGCTAACACGGTGAAACCCCATCTCTACTAAAAAATACAAAAATCTAGCCAGGTGAGGTGGCAGGTGCCTGTAGTCCCAGCTACTCGGGAGGCTGAGGCAGGAGAATGGTGTAAACCCGGGAGGCAGAGCTTGCAGTGAGCTGAGATCTTGCCACTACACTCCAGCCCGGGCGACAGAGCGAGACTCCGTCTCAAAAAAAAAAAAAAAAAAAAAAGAATACAAAATTAATTACAAAACTAAATACTAGTTTAAAATGAAAATGTAACAAATCTATCAGATGCCATATAAAATCTATTAGATGTCATAAACATCACAAAATTCAAAATACTGAAAAGTAAATACAGTCACGTGTCACTTAACAATAGGCATACATTTTGAGAAATGTGTCTTTAGGGATTTTGTCATTCTGCAAACATAGAGTGTACTACATAAACCTAGTTGGTATATCCTACTACGTTGCTAGGCCATATGGTCTAAACTTTTGATCCTAGGCAACAAATCTGTACAACATGTTACTATACTGAATACTGTAGGCAATTGTAACAGCATGGTATTTGTATATCTAAACATAGAAAAGTACAGTAAAAATACAACATTATAATCTTATGGGACCACTGTCCTAGATGCAGTCTGACACTAACTGAAGTGTTATGCAGTGCACAATTGTATTTTTATTAATTAACTGCTCTTAAAATGCTTTTTCTCCCGGACTTTTGGCTATGTTGCCTGTAACTGCCTCTTCATATGATGACAATGGTTGTATAATATTTTCAATAGAGAGAATATAAAATTCTCTTACCTTTAGCATGAGTGATTGATTTTTTAAATTATGTGTTTTTCCTTTAGCATGGGTGATTAATGGTTTAAGAAAGTGTTTCTCAGCTTCACAATTTGTAATTGGCTGTGCCATATAAATTTTTAGAATGGTTGTTATATGTGGGAAGAACTCTATCAATTCTTTCATATTTGAACAGTAAGATTTCACTGTATTTCAAATTTTCTTATGCAGTGGCTAGTCTTAAATCATTCTTGAGTTGATTACACTCATTAACTAGTTTGTTGTTGATGTTCTTGCCATAGTGACATATTGTGAGCTTTATAGATACGAATTTTGCACCAAATCAGCAAGAAATTGAAATCATTTCTGATGTGTGCATATGATTTACTCCTCTTCAGTAAATGGATTACCAAGTAATCCAAGAGCCTACTAATTATTTCTATTTGCAATTTATCTTTTCCTTTAATGAATTACTGTGCTGGGGACGATGTGAAGAATTTTTTGTTACAACTCACTTCTTAAAGTCAGATCTTTTTTTATTTTTATCTCTTATTAATTGCTTTTCTTTAATATTCCATTACTTTTATCTGAATTTTCTCTCTGTTCTTTAATAGCTAAATTTAAAGTGTCAAAGAAGGTCCAAATCAAAAATCCATAATTTCTCATTTTTCTATTAAAACATTCCCTAATGTCTTTTGGAAATTCAATTTAAATGCTGTATTCAAGCTTTATCAGCTAAGCTATTCCCATGAAAAAAAAAACAGAGAAAATATAAAGTATGTTTAAAATTGTATATGCTTTTAAAAATTACCAAGTGTGTCCTGACAGGAATGAAATTCAATTTTGACAAAGCATCAATAAGAACTAAATTCTCTGCTTACAGTTTTACACATCAGAATGGATTAGAAGAAATTTCTATAGACTAGTTTCTGACTCCACACACATTTCAAGCCTTGTTTCTCCCCTCTGCTCACATTTTCCCTGAACCAGGCACCCCGAACAGACTCTATTACAGTACAACCTCTGACCTTGCATCGTGTTTTCACAGCTGCACAGTGGGCATAGTATTATTCCTGGAAATCATTCTTATACCAGAACAGCTAGCAATAACTCCAAATGAAAGAGACAGAAAACCACGACAATGCAACAACTACACTCAGACTAATTGTATCCCCACTCAGCTTCCCTTAGCTGGGTCCCCAAAATGTCCATGCTTCCCCAACACCATCCAACACAGAGTAAAATGTGATGGAGGGGAAGTTGACAAGGAAAGAGGCAGCACTCCTGACCAATTTCATGCAGTTGAAAATATCTTACTTTTGCAAATTTCACAAAACATAACCATAAGAACACATTGCCAGGGGACTCCCCTTCCACCGCCCCCCTCCCCGCCCCCGCCCCCCAGCCCGCCGCCACTTCCTCACATCCACACCTTGGACCTTGGAAAGGGCCTACGCAAATGAAGATCCCTGAAGCTAGAGCTTCATTGGCTTCATGGTAAATCTGTCTCTGATTTTCATTGTTCACTTGATTAACCACAACTATATTCGTTAAGGTAACCCTAACTGCTATGACAAACTAACAAACACAAAGATGCATAATAACTCAAAGACACTTAGAGGTTTACTTCTTGCTATGAAAAGTCCAAAAGAGGAGTTCCTCATGGACAGGTAGCTCTCCTCCAAGGTGACTTGAAGACCCAGATTCCTTGCATCTTGTGGTTCCATCTTCAACACATGAATTCCAAAACTGCTGTGCTCATCTGCATCACACCACAAAAGGAGAAATGGCTTGGAGATTTCTATGTAGAGAGTTCTAGGGACCAGACTCACAAGTGATGTGTATCACTTCCGCTCACATTCCATTACCTAA